TCAGCATATTTTCATAAACACAGCTCATTGGTTTATGACCTTTTTTTTATTTTTTCCTCCCCCTTTATTTCACGTGTCCTTTAAAGAGCGCACAGCTCTGACAGGAATATTAGACTCATCTTCCTCTCGTGTCTGCAGCAATTAGGTAGTCAGGGTGATGCTGCGGTTGCGGGCGGCATGCAGTGATGTTCTTTGCTGTGCCGATCACTTCAGCGGGTGTCCTTTTCCCCCCCAACCCCCCTCTTACGCAGGCAGGCCCATCATCAGCTCCTCACTGGGAATAGATCAGAGAGCAGGTGAGTCACCACTGTGAGGGAGGGAGAGAGAGATGAGCGCTTCCCACGTCAGCAAGGTCGACGGAGAGGCTCTCCGTACGACGAGACAAATGAAGAAGAGAGATGTCGCGCTAACAGACCGAAGACGGGAGGGTGATTTGTACGTGAGGGCACACTTAAGGTTACTGGTCTCACTCTTGTGTCAGCTGACAGATCAGCGGCAAAAATTCATTTATTAAAAAGGAAAATCTGAAAAACTTAAAGTGCAAATCGATTTTTCGCCTCACAAGGTCGAGCTTTTGTTGAGGCTGCGAGACGTTTTGAATTTTCTGCACACTAAAGCACACGCTTCACCCTGAACGAGGGTTAAAAATTTCATGAGATGCACATTTGAGCTCAAACAGAAGTAAAAAAAAAACCTGTGTACCTACCGTTTCATTTCCCAGTTGACAGTCTTCATCACGCATTAGAAAATGAAGTATTTCTCACATGAATGCAAAACAAAGAGTACGAACTGAAAGCAGGAGAGGAAAACCTGATAATTAGTTTTCCATATTAGATCAATTCCTTGGTGTAGCGTCTCTTCTGGTTCTCCTAAGGGAGGTGATGTACTCATGGACTGAACGAAACAAAATGTGATATATTGACAACGAACGTGTCCTTAAAGATGCAAATTGTAGTTTCACAGGAAATTTAAAAAATAATTCCCAGGAGTTATTTAGAACAACAACACAAAGATTATTTAAACCAAACATCAGGATTGTGTGACTAGTTTAAAATCCCTTAGCTGGATGAAGAGCTCATAAAAACCAGTTATCAGCTAAGAGAGTTTGCTGTACAGTTCATCCGCGAGCATTTAATATTCTTAAAGCTTTGAGGATAATTACGCTTGTTCCCATGGACTCTCATCTTAAGATTAGCTGTTAAATTTTGCCTTAAACCACTTCCACCAGAAGACGCCTCTGAGACTCTCTGGACTGCATAATTAAGCCGCACGTCACTTTCTACCCAGCTGGATGGGTTGCTTAGATTTACGATGGTTGTGCGATGCAGGTTAAAGTCATTGGGCTGAGATTTTTCTGGCAAAGAAGCGAGTATCTCTCAAGTGTAAAAAGTGCTTTTTTTTCCCCGAGCGTTGGCAGGGCAGCGTTCAGCTGGAGAATGATGCATTTGGTGCTCGGCGTTGTATTTATGGCAGCGGGATGATGTCTGCGGGGCTCGGTAGCTGCTCTCATTGTAATGACAGAACAGTCCAACAGTGTGACTCACTGATGTTTATGTAATAATGTTTAGACAACAAATATGGAGCTCTGTGGCATAAAAGAATCTGACTTCGCCTACCCGGCCTTCATTTTTTAGTAAGATTACTTCCATTGCTGATTTTGAGAAATGCAGTAAATCACCAAACTTTTATTTGGAAGCACACACTCCCACTGCCACACTGCCTTTCTGACAGACAATGTCGCAGGAGCTATTCCAACCTCCCGTGCCTCACAGCATCGGCTCTCCCATCACCAAACCATCTGTCTAAAAGCCTGAGAGGCTACTGTGTCACTATTTAAGCATCATCTGTCAGTCTTCCCTCAGCAGCACTCACTCCACTCCTCCCGGACACAACCTGATTGATGCACAGGGGACAGATGGCTAACAAGAATAAAAACGGGTAAAATATGAGGATGGAAAAACGCCTGCTGACTGGATTGTGCTTCCCATCTGTTTTTACTTTTAAGACATGTTCATGAAAGAGAGGGCTGCAAGCACTGAAGAATTGTTATGCTGTTTCTTTCTTTTCTTTTCTTTTTTCAACATGGTCAGCATTGTTCTGATACAACAGCTCACACAGACATTTAACCTCATGATGGTCGAGACAAGAAGGACACTTGAGGATATGGTTTTTAAAATGAGGGGGAACAAACGCCATCATTGTCTGTCTTCCCATCAAAGTGCTTTTTTGTAAACTGTACAGTATTCACATGATGATGTTCGGACCTACGGTAACATGCCAAGAATTCGGTTAAGTCTGAAAATATGTAAGTTTCCTTATGATGGGTTGAGTGCAATTCTTTATTTCTTCTTTTTTTTCCCATGATTACCAATGGAAGGGATTATCACGCGTCACATGGGCATCACAGTGACAGCTGAGGTGTGAATGGAAATGCTTGAGCGAGAATGTACTTCCGTCCTTTTTTTTTTTAAGACATCTGAAACAGGAGGATGTTTGAACTGTTGTGGACCCGTTTATCTGGGTGTGCGCTCTATAGACAACAGACTGGAAAACAGACATTAACAAGTTACGTGGGACTGAATCCAGGTGAGGCTGTGCGAGCCACTGTGAGCACACGCTCCGGTTCCCCCTGGCTGATCTCTGTGCTGCGCAGGCCGCTGTAAAGCCTCTCTTCCACTGACACAGCTAGCTTGTCTGTCAGACTGCTCTGTGCCTGCAGGGAGACCTCTGATAGGATAGCCTGACTGCTGTTGTTGTTCTTGTTGTCAACTCTTGGGTCCATGAAGCTCTTTTGTGCAGGCACCGTGGTTACAGACTGGCAAGTTGTGCTTTCTGCTGTCTGTCTCTCTGCGGAGGCTTGGCAGCCATCGGTCTCACCAGCTGAAGCTGCACAACAAGAGCTGCGCTTTGTTGTTGCCTCGTCTCCTTCGGATGTTTTGTTGGCAGCGCTTTGTGGGGAATCCTCTGCCGCGCCTTCGTGTGATGGATCTGCGCTCTCTGCTCTTTCCTTTGCTGCCTCCTCAGAAGCCGCGACCTCGCTGGCTTCTTCATCAGCAGCACTTGCGATGCGCGAGAGGGTGCTGTGGTATCTGGTGTCCAGAGGGTAACCAGCGCTGTCCCCTCTCCTCAGCGGCGTGAACCTCTGCCTCTCCAAAGACGGGGAGTATCTTCCCCCAGAGCTCGAGCCAGGATCGCTGTATTGCTTATGTCTTTGCCACTGTTTCCGGAGGTGAACTCTGGATCGGTGCCTGGAACGTAACGGGGAGTCCTGCTGGTCGAACCGTGGGTCGTGGCGAAGGAACTCGTTAAATAGGGCGTCCGTCTTCTCATCTATGCTGTAGTCACGGCGGCGGAGACGTGTTCGGTGAGGACTGGTGGGCTGTGCGATTGTTTTCACAAGTGGAGACATCAGCTGTGTTTGCGATTCTGGAGATTTCTGAGGGTGAAGAGATTTCAGAGGTTGATGTGAATCTTGGAGGGTGAGAGTTTGGCTGCCGCTCTGTGGTTTCTCCTTTAGTTTCTCCTCTGGCTCGGTGCTGTTTGCCATCTCATCCTCCAGCTCCTCCTGAAACAGCCTGGCCTCGATGCTCTCACATACTGAACCCTTTCTACCGGAGTTGGTGAAAAACAACCTCCTCTCTGATGCCGTTTTCCCTCGTGGGGCACCGGGAGTCCCAAACAGTCGCATCTCCTCAGGGGCCCTGGATGGAGCTTCGATGGAGGCGTAACCACTGTCCATCTGAAGGAGCTTTCTGTTCCCCCCCTCACCCTCTCCCCCAGGTCCACTTCCCATCTCACTGTCTAAACCCAATGCCCCTCTGGTTCCCCCTTCCAACCCCTCTCCCTCCCCATCTCCTTCAGGCTCATCATCCAGGTCTTGGGACAAGCAACTGTCGAGGCCAGAACGAGCTCCTGCACCGCCAAGGGATGAGACGCTGTCCGCATCGCTGCGGATGGACTCCCGGTCTGTGCTGCTCTGGTCTGAGGAAGCATACAGCTCCAGAGAGGCTCGCAAGCTCCAAATGTCTCTGTACAAGGAAGGAGGCGCCTCCAGGCTCTCCTGGGGAAGCATGAAGGAAAGCGATGAGACCGAGTCGGTCCTTTGTCTGGCTTCTGCCCCCAACACCACTTCGTCTCCATCATCTGGCTCTACCTCGTTCTTTTTCCTTGCGTTTGCCATCGCACCATCTGTTTTTGCATCTTTCCTCAACATGTCTTCAAACCTTTCCGGAATGACAGCTTCTTGTTGCGTCCCAAACAACTCATCTTCGTCCGCTGACTCCAGCCCGTCTCCTCCCGATCCTGCTGCTGTTCCTACGACTGCCTCTTTCAGTGTTCCTGTTCCATTAACTGTAACCTCCTCTTGCCTCTGGGCGAGGCAGCGATCTGGTGGCAAACTGAACTCTTCTCTCCTGGTGCTGCTACCACCTACCTCCACCATGGCCTCCAGATTAAGTCTGCAATGATGGGAAAACTGTCAGACAATTCGGTAAATTGCATGGTGTTAAGTCATGGTATTATAGGCAGAGGTGTACCTGCTAAGGAAGACTGAAGATGTGGGTGCAGTTTGGGGATGAGAGAGAGACTCTGCAGAGAGTGACTGGAGGCCTCCGGTCTGGATGGGTGTATGTGGAAAAGATTCAATGGCCTCATCTCGGAGAGGAGAGGAATCGTCTTCAGTGTGATCAGTGGTTTCACTGGCTGCTCTCTGTCTCTGAAAGGGCCTTCTCTTGGGGGACCCTGTGAGAAATTCATATGATAAGAAGGTTAGCCCTTACCCACGCTTTCAGTCTTATTTCAGTCAGGGCCGCTAAAGTCAAAAGAAGCGTGATATTCCCATCAGCAGTAATACATATTTGGCAGCATGGCTCTGATCTGGGACTTTTCTGTCCATCCACATGCAT